AGAGACAAGGACCAATAATGCAGAAAATTAATAATAATGTTTAAAAAAATAAGCTCGGTTATTTTTTTAACAAACCTCGTGTATATAAATTCTCTGATTTCAGTTCAATTATGACCGGAACAACAGATAAAACATTTAATTATTGGTTTGAATATTTAATAACAATAATAATTGTAATAACCGTATTTTAAATAGGAGCAATTTACATTGAGTGAGTGTAAATATATAATACATAATGTGTTGTACTACATGTGTAGAGGGTTATAAAATAGCTGGACTGTTTTTGTGTCAATAACATATTGATGAAAACTAATACGTTCGTAACCGGTATATGTCTGGTGGTCCTGTTGACAAATAGTCTTAGCTGTTTAATAGATATTGCGGGTGTAATATTTCCAACAATATCATTAGTTATGTAAATACCATTTGTATTATTTTCAGTTTCCGTAGAATAAAAATTCGTTATATTACAGTTCCAATTATACAATATACATAACTTTGTTTCAAATAGAACAGTAAATTCGCTTACTTGGATTACTCTAACCAAGACTTTTGTAATAGGTTATATTTGCTATCTTTTTTAAAAGGATATTTTTTCGAGGGAAGGATGATACGAATTTGGCGAGAATAAGTCTGTTCAAATTGGGAAGGAAATGGAACGGATTGAGTCTAAGGCAAACATTGGAACGAGGCATTCAAGAATAAAAAAATATTGTGATATGATACCGCTCTAATAATATTTATGTACAGGGTGTACATTGGATCAGCAACGTTTACTTGTTTTGCAGTGCGATAATTCTTAATTAATTTGAAGAAAAGGATATCCCTTTTTACAAGTGTCATAAATGCTCATTTTCAACAAACAAAATCTAAAAGTTTTTGCAAATGTATCAGATTTTTCTTACAGGTTTCCAAAGCTTACTAGATTGATTTAGTACTAGCGTTACTGCAAAAATCTTGAATTTTACTGCACTAAACGCACAAATACGCTATAATTACGCATAAAACCAAATCAAACCAAATCGTGACGATACTCTTGGCAGATTAGGATTGGGATAGGGTCGTATCAACACAAAATTAAATTTGTAACAAGTAATAATCGTGAAAAACTCAGTTTTAGATAAGGACATAGTGTTGTAGTTTCATCAGTTTATAATAAAACCCAATTTAAATATCCGAAAATTATTTTTAATCATTAAACTGTCAACAACTATGACAAGTAGTTTTGAACGATATATTTAGGTCTTAAAATTAATTTTTAGCAAAAATGAAATGTTCTAATAAAAGTATCGTATAGGTACCTACTCGTATGTGCTTTTCTATTAGTAAGTCTCAACACTATGTACCTTTTCAAATTTAATTATAAACTTGTAGTTAGATAAGTTATCTAATTATCAGTTTTATCAAATATGAGAAAGTACATAATTTTGAGACTAATCAAGAAAGAAATACGTCTAATATTAGTGTAAAAAACAATTCACTTTTTATAAACCATTGATTTATTAATATTAAAATAACCTATTTTCACTGAAAAACTGTTACTTCACATTAAGCTAAGATATATTTCTAATAATCTTATGTCATCTACATCTTAAAATATGTAGATTAATAATAAAGAGGCGAAATGTAATATTACATTAAAAATAAACATTCAAATAAGATTTATTACAAAACTATGAACTTATTATTAGTTACTTTTCACACTATATATGCTGGGCAACATCCAAAACTAGGATTAGTTTATGGCAAACGATATTTATTTAGACCAAATAAATCCTTTTTTCAGTGTACTTTTGGCGTTACTTGTATAACTCAGTTATGCCCTATTCCTTTGATAAGTTGGGAATTTTTTTTGCCTTTAGAATTACGGACATTGTGACAAAGTTACTCATGTTTGTTTTCGATTTCTTCCTTAGTTATCGAGATATTTGCATATACATACAAATGTCAATGCATTTCGTTTTTAAGCAACTTTTAATACTTAAATTAAACTAATACGACTTGACAATTAGTGTATGAACCAAATTATTTACAGTTTTCTAAAAAACGACTTAAAGGGAAAGTAAAGCTTGGTCAAATTATTTGAATACCTATTATTTTTTATTTCCTGGCCATGGTGGAAAATAAGTGGTTTCGAAAAATATCTGAACGTACCGTTTCTATTATTTGTTATGGTACAATTAAAATAAAAAAATACAAAATAGAATATTGTGATATGCACTTATATGGAGAAGCACGATGTAATGCATTAAGAGTTCAAAGATTATACGCTGAGAGATTTCCCAACAGACAACTACCGAATTCAAAAATATTTTAACGCGTTGGTCAGCGGTTGGTCAGCGGAAACTGGTATGACATATTTATTAGTTTATTTTGAATAATATATAGATTTCTAATTTGTAATTGTAATACATTTAGGTACATTTAAGGTAGTTTTATGCCAAATATGAGCCGATATGGTGGAACTCACAGAACTACAGGTATTCGATTACTTGAAGTTGAAGAAACTGTTTAGGATTTTGTCGCTGAAAATCCTACAGTTAGTGTTAGAAATGTGGCTAGACAGTTTCAAATTTCAAAATGCACCGTAAGTAATATTGTTAGAGAACAACTTCTCCAACCTTACCATATGCAAAAATTCAAGATATAAGCATAGATGATTATATGTAAGAATAAAATTTTGCATCTGGCTCTTGGAAAAGATTAACCAAGCCCATGATTTTACCACCTCAATACTATTTTCCGAGAAAACAGGTTTCATAAGGATGGACCCATCAACTTACACAATCTACACATTTTTGCAGACGAAAACCCTCATGGTATAAGGCAAACCCGCCATTAAGTGCACTTTCAAATTAATTTATGGACAGGCATAACTGGACATTATTTAATAGGACCTGTTGAATTACCACCTAAACTAAATGTTACGCATTAATATGTGGTTTATGCAGGATGGTGCTCCACCTCATTTTAATTTAACAGTTAGGGAACACTTAAATAGGGTTTATCCAGATCGATGGCTAGGCTGATGGTCAGGACCAGTGTCCTGACCATCACCAGATTTAAATCCTTTGGATTTCTGCTTTTGAGGTGATTTGAAAAGTCGTGTTTACGCAACCCCTGTGGCAAGTAGAATCAGTAGAACATAAGCTTACAACACAATTACAGATTAATCTAGATCTCTACATATCATATAGTCTAATGATAATTTTTTTAATTTGGTAAGAAACTTTCAAAATTAAACGTAAATGATTAGATTAGTATTCATTTAATAGCAATTATTAAACAAATGTGTTCCTATTTGGTGTATGAGAAAATGATTAAGTAGGTATTATACTAATGAAACACTTGAAATTTTGGTATTCTGTACAATAGTATCGTCTTTTTAGTGATACATTATAAGATAATGACTGAAGGGAGATTCTACCCATTTCTGGTGTAACCAGACCTAACTTCTCAATGTATACCCGAAATATGTTTTTACATATTGTAGGTTGTAGATCTATTCATTTTATAACTTCAAAATAAAAAATAGCTTAAGCATTTAAACAAATTGGGAACATTTTACTGTAATTTTAAACCTAATATCAAAGTTACTTGTGGTTAAACTGGAGGTATTGAAATTTGTTTGCAGTCACTTCCGACCTATTAATTATTATAACATATCGCAAATGGATTCTTAGAATAGAGGTGAGTTCCTATTTAATAGGTCCACAATAGTCCTAAATACTTTTCAGTATCTTGCTTTGATTTCACAAAACATTAATTTGTCATCATATAAGTCGTTGTTTAAGAAATCTGATAGATCTGACCTGCACATGTTGGTTTTGTCAGACAGTTTGGCACCACTCATGGGCGTGGGGACAAGACAGGAATTATGGGGTCGTATTTTGTTTGTTTTTCAGATAAAAACTGTAATAAATATATTAATTATGATTTATTTAGCTAATTCTTTTGTCTTTTTCTTAAAATATCATATTTGTACACTATAAATAATTTGTTTTTGTACTTATTATAGTATAAGGTGAAAAATCACAATATTTTCTGTTTATATTTTTATCGAACTTTCTAATTAATTTTGATAGTAAAAAAGTTCTACCGGGTGTCCACCAAAGCGTAATCACAAAAATATTACCGTTAATGTTAGAGGTAGAGAAATTCAAAGCAATTAAACAAGAAATTGACATTCTTGTTACCCCAATTAATAAATGTAACTATTGTTACCATATAGAAATAGAGTAACAAAGAATTTGGAAGAGGTAGTAGAAACAAAGACTGCTTGTTTTCTGCGACTGGTTCACTTGGGCGAGGAGAAATGATTGTTTGCTATTTTCTCTTTAATTTTCTCTTTAAACGGTTTATGCTTTGCTTTCCCTCTAAGTTGTTTTTTAGAAAACTGTAAATAATTTTGTTCATACACAAATTGTCAAGTCGCATTAGTTATTAAAAGTTGCTTAAAAGGGAAATGCATTGCAATTTGTTTATGCAAATATCTCGATGACTAAGAGAGATATCGAAAACGAACAAAAGTAACTTTTTTTTGACACGAAGGACGTCCTTTCATATTTTCAATACACAATGTCCGTAATTCTAAAGGCAAAAATTTTTTTTATCCTATTTATCAAAGGAATAGGGTATAACTGACGCCCTATACAAGCAACGCCAAAATTAGTTAAAAATTCTTGTTTGTCATGTTAAAAAACATAATAGTGTCAATTTTCTTGTTCATACTCTGACATCTTTCAAAATTATTGAGAAATTTCAAATATTACATTGAAACCAGCAACATTTGCATAAGGCATATTTGTCTCGACTTATTTTGGCCTCCAGTATCTCCAGCTTCGAGATTTCCCAACCTGAAAGAGAATATTGCCAATACCCGTACTGTTACGGGACTATCAAAAGATACATTTTCTTTTTTCTTTTTACGGTGGTACATATTTTTAAATGTCAAATAAATTTGGTATTTTCGTTCTCCGACAGAAATATTTACAACTCACCTGAGAATATACTGGCCACCGCCGCTATAATAAAGCTAATGACGACTCCTGGTCCGGCCACATTTTTTGCCACCATTCCAGCCACGACGTACATCCCCGTCCCCACGCAACTTCCCACACCAAGGGAGGTCAGGTCCAACGTCGTCAGGCATTTCTGTAACAGTTTAATCCAGTTAGGAACTACTAATGACACCTGAAGGCGATGTGAGTGGTTTCGGATTCGTTATTAGAGTTTTCGCCGTTGGCATATTAACTCTAGTCTACTTGCGTTTCCATTAGGAAAACAACTAAAATGCTTACATACACATTTTAGTTACAAATAATTTAAGACAAGAACAAAAGTCCATATTGAAATGTTTATAAACATGAAGCTTTATAGTACAGTGGTACACTAACATATGTTTATATATTTTACTCAGTGGCGGCTCTTGACTTCCATGCTAGGGAGGGCGGAAAAATTTAGTCACAAAGTATTGAAAAAAAAATTAAATATAATTGGGTAGTTTTATTTTAAGTATTATTGAAATACAGGGAAAATGAGTTCAACATTATTTTTTATAGTGAAAGTCCATTCTGCTTTTGTCGATTTTTCAATAGATATCATTACTATTATTTTCAATAGATATCATTACTATTAGTCTGTCTTTACAGTCAATTTAAACTTTTACAATTTTTAAAAAAGCACAAGAAGTAGCATGCAAATAAAAAGATTCTACACCACACTTGAACAAATTACGTTTAATAAGAAAAAAAAAGCCGTGTATAGCTACTAGCCCGGGAGGCAGCGTTATTATTGATGTAATTATTCCTACAAAGCTGATTTTTTCTCATTTTGTTGTTTTGATATCGCAAGTAAACGGAACGGCAGTCTACCGCGCCAATGTGGGGGCAAACATTAATAACAATTTTTGAAACATGTAAATAAATAATACTTAAATGCCTTATACCTACAAGGCTGAAACTTTTTAGAGTGATCAATTATACCTAAAAATACAGTATAGTGATAGTCTACCGCGTCGGAAGGGGGGCCATCAAGGGTATACCACCCTCGCAAGGTGTTGAAAAATTAACTTTTTTGACTTATTTCTACAAGGCTAAATTTTTTTTCTCAAATACTTTAGTTTATAAGAGAACCAACAAAAACAGTCTACCGATCAATTTTTTTTCTCAAATACTTTAGTTTATAAGAGAACCAAAAAAAACAGTCTACCGATCATCTAAGGGTGCAAAGGCTTGATAGACGCAATGGAATGCACGATCTCTAGAGCGCAGTCGCTGCGCCGATTCACTGTAAGCCGCTCTGAATAATAACTCATACCGGGATTAAATTACAATCTACAAAGCTGCTTTTTTGTCTATAGATATCTTACGATAATTATTGTCAAATAAACGTTTTATACCTTCGATAAGAGGAGGCTAAAGCTTTGGTAGACGTGGCGAATGTTTTTGCGCGGTAACTTTATTGAAGAACTTCAGACTATTGTAATATTAAGTACATATAATATTTATTATAAACAGCTACAATATATTAATTTCATAATTATTTAATATTAAATTCTTTATTTTTATTTATTTTTTTTTTGTTGGAAATTTTAAATAGATAGAAATCTATGGTTGTTCTGTATTCTTTTCCGTTGTGTCATGAGATCATGATTTCCTTACTTTTATATCGGTTTACATCTAAATCATTAAAATAAATGCAAACTAAACTACCATGAGTGTACTAAATTGGTAAACAAAAAGGCAGAATGTTATCTATTTGTTTTTTTCATAGTTTAATAGTGATATTTTTTTCTTAGTATTTACCGTACCTTCAGAACACTTCAAGTTAACTCTACTTTCAAGTTTTTTCCAATTTTATTGTAAATTACCTTATTTTAGCAGATTCTAATTTTTTTTTTATATCAATTGGTATTTATTGCTAATCCAAAGTTGGCAGTCCTGGTGCTAGCTGCTCACCAGTGTGGCTTTGATAAGCGTCATGGATTGCCGATTAATGGTTGGTTTATAAAAAAGTATTAGTCCTAACTTAGCCGTAACCTAACCTTAATCTTAGTCCTAAAAAGTTAAATGTACAGAATGTAATGTACCGGTTTATTAAAATCCCTAGTCGTAAGGAGGTCTTAAGACATGACCTTGAAAGTTCGCATCTTTTAATTTTTCTAGGATTAAGACTAAGATCTGAGAAGTGTGCATGCACAAGTATTGCATTTCGTAGCATAGTGGTCTCCTGTCTTTGTCTATGGTGGTCGCCATTACGCCATTACCATAGTAATAGGTTATATTTTTCTTTTCACTCACCAACAAAACAAATAAAATAACATTACCACAGAATAATAAACAAGTATTATGCTGTGATATTACTAGCCATGCGCGTAGTCGAATCGCTCATTGGTTAATCTTAATAAAATTAGGACCACACATTGTTTTTATAAACGTGTACCTATTCTTAGGACTAATACTAAGATTAGTGTAAAGGTTAATACTAAGACTAAGACTAAGTTAGGACTAATACTTTTTTATAAACCAACCAAAAACTGTTTTGTTTGCCATAAGAAGTCACAAGATCAATTAATTGTGCAGTTTACACAAGATAAGTTTTTAAAGTGTTTTTAAAGAAATTTTGGAAAAAAAAAGGAAGAACCAATTAATGTACAGTGATGTGATATTGCCAGCTTAATTAAGTGGACTTGAAGGGTATCATTCTCGATGTTACCGACGTTTCACGGCATTATCAGAAAAGTACAAAAAGCCTGCGAGATAGTCTTCTGAAAACAATGCTGAGCCTTGCGCAAGTTCGAGTACAGATGTACTAGCGACTGATTTATCTGTCTCTGACGAGTAAGTAAACTGTATGCACAACCTATAATTTTCATTTAAAACGTTTTAAGGGCAATATGTAATTATAAAAAGATTTTTTTTTATTTCTTCAGTGAACAAATCAATCAATCGAAAGATCCAACAAATCTTGATGACAATTTAGATGAGGAACAGAAACGATTAGACAATGAAGAAAGTAGTGAAAGGAGTGCAGAACTTCAATTTTGTATTATCTGTGCCAAAGCGCGTAAGCGTCGTAACAATCGTACAGAAAAGCTTCATTTAGCTCATAAAACCGATACGCTTGATAGATTCAAATTGAAAGCTTTATTAATTAATAATATGGATTTGTACGTAAACATTGAAAACACTTTATTGTTCGATACTAGTGCGATAGAATAATTCTCGCACGAGTGTAATTGACGAATGTGATGATGAATCGCAAATCAAGCATTTCGCGCGCTATTATCGAAAAGTATTATTGTTATAAATTATAAGTAAAAGTGAAATAAATTTAATTATTCAATGTTAAAAAAGAAAAAGGTCAGTCATTTGAAAAAAAAAATTTTGAACTTTTGTTAATACCTATTATACTAGCAAAAATCTCGCTCGCTAACGCTCGCTCGTTGTTACTATATCATACGTTTAAATAATGGTGTAAGCTCAAAAAATTATAATTAATAATAAATTTGGAATTTTAAGCAACTTCCGCGCAAAAACTTTCGCCACGTCTACCAAAGCTTTAGCCTCCTCTTATCGAAGGTATAAAACGTTTATTTGACAATAATTATCGTAAGATATCTATAGACAAAAAAGCAGCTTTGTAGATTGTAATTTAATCCCGGTATGAGTTATTATTCAGAGCGGCTTACAGTGAATCGGCGCAGCGACTGCGCTCGGGAGATCGTGCATTCCATTGCGTCTATCAAAGCTTTGCACCCTTAGATGATCGGTAGACTGTTTTTTTTGGTTCTCTTATAAACTAAAGTATTTGAGAAAAAAAATTCAGCCTTGTAGAAATAAGTCAAAAAAGTAAATTTTTCAACACCTTGCGTGGGTGGTAGACCCTTGATGGCCCCCCTTCCGACGCGGTAGACTATCACTATACTGTATTTTTAGGTATAATTGATCACTCTAAAAAGTTGCAGCCTTGTAGGTATAAGGCATTTAAGTATTATTTATTTACATGTTTAAAAAATTGTTACTAACATTGGCGCGGTAGACTGCCGTTCCGTTTACTTACGATATCGAAACAACAAAATGAGAAAAAATCAGCTTTGTAGGAATTGGTGCAAAATTTCTGTCGCTGCCTCCCGGACTATACTATTTGACCAAACAAATAACAAACTGCACAGTAAATATGCATTACTCCCGCTCCGTCTTTTACTGCCGCGCGACCGTACCATGAATACCGATGTAAACACTTTGCAGATACAGGAACGAGCTACACGGAGCCCACGTATTTAGAATTTTTCAACGAATTATGCAAGTCGATTTAAATTACTTACACATTACAAATTTAGCATTTCCTTTGTAATGCGTTTTATAATGCTAATCTATTTAATTATCCAGATAACATGGTAAACAAAATTTTAAATAAATTTTTTTTATTAAAAACATTTCTAGGGAGCACCGCCCTAGAGCCCCGCCCCTCGCCAGCCTCCACTACCTGTACTTACGAACATTACATAGACAAAGTAATTACATACCTTTTTTATGCACTTGTAATTGCAATTACAATTCAATCAGTGTAATTATAATTTGTATTTATGTTTAAGTACTTTCACCGTTACAATTATTTTTCATAAATACAATTACTTTCATACCAAACATTATTTATTTAAAAAATTTAAACGAATCGCAAATATACTGTCACTTGATGATAGTTCTGAAAGTTTTATCAGCGGTAGGTACGTAAATAAATATTTTACTGTTTTTATCACTTCGTTACAATACAAGTATTGTAAGAAGATGGAGATAAGGCATAATATGTTACTACATAATCTTTCAATTTACCACTTACCCATCAATCACAGTGTCAGTGTGCAGTTAAGGTCATACTGCAACTTCAGTCTGCTTTAAAAAGGTAATTTCTTTTGAAAGTAATTGAAAAACATAGAGGGAACAAAAGTTGTAATTTGTCTGCAAAAAGACTGCCTGTCTTCTGTGGCTGGGTGACTTTGATGTGGGAGATACTATATTAATCTTAACTGCACATCTCAGTGAATCAATAACAAAGCAGCTCGGTCAGTGTGGCGAACTGTAATTATTCGTATTCTCGTCTATGATTGGGGATGATTAAAGTGGGAAATTGGCAGAATACGCAGTAGTCTA